AAATTGATATAGGAAACTCAGATCAGAAGGTTTAATTAGATAATTCAAGTAATAGTAGGTTGCAGGTATAGCATCTAGTATAGCACTTAGCATATAGGTAGAATATTTAATTAAGCACCCAAAAGGTGCAAATATGGCTAGAATATATTCTTGTCAGAATGTACTTGTCTGGAGCCTCTTTGAAAAGAATACTATATAATCTTAATATCTAATAAAAGTGATAAGCTGAAGAGGCTAACCTTGACTACAAAAAAAAAATATATTATATAATATTTTTTTTATCTTTTTCTCTTATACTATATAAGAGAAAATTTAATTGTTTATTATAAATTTATATATCAATATAAGATATCAAAGATCTTTTTTTTCTTCTTACAATATTATATAATATCTGTTACTACTTTAACAATATATAGAATTTATATAAAGAATTTTTTTTTTTTGGTAAAACTTTTTTAAAACAAAATTAAGTAATGCAGTGATTAAAAACTCCCAAATTATTTGAGAAAAAAAAAAAGTAAAACTTGTAATGATAATACTAAGATATTTGTGTTTATATTAGTGATTTGGCCCATCTTAAAAACCTTTACCCAGGTCATCCGTCAGGTGGACAATAAGTCATCCGGGTGAAAATTGAATCAACTTAAAAATATCACCCACCTGGGTCATCTGACAGGTGACCTGTCAGGTGACCCATTGGTTAGTATAAAAAGACCACCCAGGTGGTAATTTGACAAAGAATTACAGCCCTTATCAAATTCTGAACATATAATAAAATGATTTTTGACTGATTCGATTAAATTATTGATTTCAGTATGATTGGTGTATATTTTTAAACATAATATTTCAGGATTAGAACTATACAGCTAAAATCAGGATAATGTCATAAAACGTCTAGTTGGCCAGTTTATAGAGCTATCAGAATAATATAGGACAATATAAATCAAAATAAATCAGGATGATATTGGAGTTTTTTCCTATTGAACAAATCGAATGTAGATTATAGATGCATAAATATGAAATCTTTTTTGCATCTCAATTGGAATATATAAATCACATGACTTTAGAACATGGTCTTGGCCTGGTAAAGAAGAGTTCGGATGCGATTATAGTGTTCAGATCTGTGCAATTATATTTTTGACACATAAAATGCATGATAATTTATCTATTTTAATGTAACTAGTGCAAACAATAATATTTATCAATATCAATATACAGTAATAAAAATTAATGCATATAACATGTTTTTTTTTGGCTAATTATTAAATATCAATATTTTAGCATTATTAATATGTTGATCATTCACAATTTTTTATTTGCATTGATATTGCATAGTCAGAATTTCTTATATCGCATAAAAATACATTTTAAAATTGCATGAATCTGAATACTCTAGATGTGGTATATAAAAAATTTATTATTTAATTTTGTTACAAACTAATAAATACACGCAAAAAAGAATTTGCTATATTTAAAAATATGCAGATAGATATACAATATACGTATATAGTAAATTGATATTTATTACTAATAAACCTAAACTCAAATTGATCAAAAAACTCAATAAGCGAATAAATTATTAGCGAAACAATATTTATTATCATTCTATTTTGAAAAAGAATTAGAGTAATTCAATTTTATCTTTAGTTATCATGACATTTATTAGAGATGTAACACGATCTTTAGCCATATAATTAATGAAACAATAATACTAATATAGTCATACATATTATTGACCTACTATTTAACCCAAAGTTACTAATGTTTTAACATTACAATGTTTAGATTACATAAAATATGAACATTAATACATGCTTATTGTTGTGATAATATGGTATGTATAAAATTCTTTAAGTTAAATCCTACATGTAACATCTCAATTTAGCATTTAGAACTTACATATTGTTAATACAGTATAACTAATATTATCAATAAATAGTAAAAACATCTGCTTCTAAATGACGTTCTAAGGTTTAATGATTATTTGGGATTGTTTTTATACAGTGAATATAGAAGCTAGAAATGGGTTTTACAATGATTTTTGTTAGTGAAATATTACATTTCTAAAAAGTACTTTAAACAATATAAATTAGTTATTCAGTCAATTGATTTATATAAACCAATCATACTTATGAACCCACAGGTCAACTTATAGTCAACTCCGAGTTGACCTGTGGGTTGGCTACTCAGGTTGTTACAACTCAACCCAGATGACCCATCCACCCACAGGTGACCTGAGTAAGACCTACCCAGATCAAAATACTAGTTTACATAAATAAAAGATTTGAGTTCAATTTTAATCTAATAGGAGATTTAAATTTAATAATTTTAAACATACAAAATATTATTTTGCTAATTGTATAGACAAATTACTATTAATTAATATAGAAAAATAGGCTTGAAGTATAAAAACAGATTTAAAATATGTTACTATTATTATAAGATGACAGAGTAAAACCTGAGTTGCAAAATAGTGAAATCCACTATGATCATCACACAAGGGTAAAATCCGCTTTTATATAATAAAAAACATAATAAAACGCGGATTTCACCCTAACCCAATCTACAAAGCGGATTTCATTATTTCGCAACTCAGGTTTCACTCTGTTCTATTATAAGTATTTAAAAAATATTATTATCTTGTGACTTTGGTTATATTAGCTTGTACTGAAAAATTGCAGAACATTAATATGATGTATGAATTATACAAAATCTGTATAAAACAGTCAAATAAATCTAAAGGATTAGGAGATATAGAAGTCCGCTTAGAAAGTTCTAAGCAAAGAAGTAGCATGAATCTTTGATAATACTATATAAAAGATTATTATCAGGAAACCAGATACTAGCAGTAAACTGAATAAAGATTGAGTATTTGGCAAGCATTACATCAACCAGGCCATCGAATTAACTGAAAAAAAAGGAGTCATTCAGAATATCAGGAGATGTTTACTGATCACTTCCAAGCCATCTAGATTGAAAATTTGGAGCACTATTAGTTAGTATCAAAGTACTGTTGATAGTTTATAAAGTATATACTAGGGTTTATATAAACTTTACAAAAGCACAGAGTAGAAAACAGTATAAAAATAAAAAGCTGCAAGTACTTGTTCTCAAATTTAGTATAAATTACCAAAAATCTAGATGATATATATATAAAATATGAACTGCTTTAGTAGGTTTATTATAAGAATAAAGTAGTTCTAAGAAGCCTTAGCAGTTCTTCTTTAAAGAAAATATCTGATAATACTAAGTTGATTAGAGAGTTTAAATAGGGATTTATAGACAGATCTTAGATATTGTAATATAACAAGTTAGACCTTTGATTAACAAGTTACTTTACTTATAGTAACTAGATGTTTGAGTAGTTAAAAATATGGTTATAATATTTTATAAAAGAAAATAGTTTATAATTAAGATAAAATATTGTTGACTTATTGCTATAGCAACACTTATTAAAAAAGGCTATAACTAACAAAATTTATAGACAAAAAATAGATTTATTTACTTAAATAATATTCAATAGAATGATACAGGTAAAATAAATATAATTCAAGAAAAATGAAGTTAATTTCAAAAAAATATCACAGAAAAGGAGCTTATTTCCAACAAAGATTATATAAAAATACTAAAAACAAACCTAAATCCTAATACAAATTTATAACAAAAATAAAGATAGGACCTATTCTCAAGACAAAGGTATATAATTATAAGATTATAGTAATTAAAATATGGGAACAATTGTCTACTTGCTTTGGGAAAAATGGCAGAGTTTATATATCTTTTTTTGATACTATTGTATAATACTTATATAATATAGTATGATAATGTAAGATAACAGCATGTTAGTACGTTGGCAAAAAATTGTCGCCATACCAATATGCTGTATCTCAAAATTATCATGCTATATTGATATTATAGTTCGGTGGTCATTGATCATAATTTATACTATTTATGTTTTTTAAATAACCTTTCGATTCATATTTATTGCGTAATCAAAATTTGATATAAATATTTAATAAATAGTTTATTGTTAATTTATATATTCTTTCTTAAATCTGATTCAAAAATTATTTTTTATTAAACAATGCCAAAAGAAAGTTGATCTAAAACATTCATACAACCAGCTCAAAATGAAATAAATTTTTTTTTGCAAAAGTTTATTGTTAAAAATATAGAAAAAACTACGAATAATTGGATATTACAGTTTGAACGATACAAAAAAGAAAGTGGATATCTGTTTCAACTTCATGAAGTACCATCACTTATTGAATTAGAACAAATTCTTGTTTTTTACTTTACTCAAGCTAAAAAAAAAGATGGACAAGACTATATAGTTGCATCAATTAAATCAACAGTTAATGCATTCACACGTTATCTTAATAAAAAATCAAATCTAAAACTAGTTGATCTTCTTGATCATATCAAATTTTTACAGTTGCACAAACTTCTTGAAGGAAAAGTTAGATATCTTGCCGAAAAAGGCTTAGGTGAAACTAAAGGATCAGTTGGATTAAGCTTAGAAGAAATCAAAAGAATTCTTGATCATCACTCTATACATGTTGGGTATTCATGGGGATTATTAAAACGGGTATTCTTTTGTAATGCTATATTTCTTGGATTATGAGGTGGAGAACATTACTTATTAAAGGCATCAAGCTTTATTAAGAATAACGAAAATTACGAAGTAGTAATTTATAAGAATAAAACAAATCAACGTAGTCTCAATTCATTTTCAAATTGTGAAAAAATATGCTTACCTTCGAATGAAGAAATTATTCAATTATATGATTTTTATTTGTCTAAATGGCCTTCTAAAGCTAATAAGAATTTTTATTTGCAACCACTTAAAAATCTTAAAGGTATATATATTAATGCAAATATAATATATTTGTATCAGTATTTTATTATTATTTTTAATTATACTTTTATTTATAGATTCTGAACAAATAGAATTCTGGTATAAAAATTCGCATATAGGAGAAAATAGGCTTAAGGGTTTTATGCGTATAATTACACAAGAAACTGGTATTGAACTAACAAATGAAAAGATTACTAATCAATCAGGTCGAAAAACTTTAATTTAAAGTTTGAAAGACATAGGTAAATCTGATTATGAAGTTATGACAAATTTAAGACATAAATCGATTAGTAGTATAATATCATATGAACAACTAAAAGATAATTTACAAAAAAAAAATATTGCAGATTTTTATAATGCAATTTCTCTGGATAATAATTTATCATTTGATAATAGTAAGTATTTATTTATATATATAAATTTGATATTACAATATTATAATTTTATATTAATTTATTAATAGACAAATCGCGAGTCACCTAAACAAATATATATTTTTTATATGTAAATTTTACTATAAGCTGGAATGTGCAGTGCTTCTATCTAAAACCTTTTTTTTACTAAGTAAATCACTCTTGGGCTTATAATAAAAGTTGTAGAGCTCATCAAGATGCATCTAACAATGAAAGAACACTAAAATCGGTCTGGTAGTTCTTGAGAAATCTTTAAAAAACTTCTTTCTTACATATAAAATTTCTTTTAAAAAAATCGATTTTTTTTAAAGAAATTTTATATGTGAAAAAGAAGTTTTTTAAAGATTTCTCAAGAACTATCAGACCGATTTTAGTGTTCTTTCATTATTAGATGCATCTTGAAGAGCTCTACAACTTTTGTTACAAGCCCAAGAGTGATTTACTTAGTAAAAAAAAGTTTTAGATAGAAGCGCTGCATATTCTAGCTTATAGTAAAATTTACATATAAAAAAAAATATATTTGTTTAGGTGACTCGCGATTTGTCTATTAAATTAATTAGATAATGATCAAGTTATTCAAAATAATCAAACAATGATTCAAGGTTTTAAAACTGCATCTGAGTTATTAAACGGTAATTACTTTTTCTAAAAATCCAAATTACTGACTTTATTTAAAGCAAAAAGAATTTTGCAATTAAAAGCCTAAATTTATCAATTTCAATTAAAAAATTATAACTAAGAAACTAACGATGTTATTAATTTTATTTAACCTATTTTTTTAGAACAGTCATCATCAAATTCAACTTTAAATATCGATATCAATACAAGGTTGACGTTACAACCAATTTCAACCAATTCCAATTCAGTTCAAGAGAATAATAGAAATATTCAGAAGATTTTACATGGTGCCCAGTTTATTAATTCTTCGATTGTATTCAATATCCATCATCACTATTCACCTTTGACATAATAAAATTTTTATTATATTAGTATGAGTTTAAAAAAGTGCTTTATAAAAAAATAAAAACTAGCATTAGTGTTAGCATAGTACTATTAAAATATGTATGACATAAATTGTTCAAAATAACAAGGACAGATGACATCAATTATATAAACATGCTTTATAACATAAATAGTGTAGTGTTCATGATCAATAGTAGCTGTGCTATAATATAAGATAATGTTATACAATAATATTACAAATTATTATAATAATAAAATAACTATTGTGACAATAATATAAATTATTATAATAATAAAATGTACTACTATAAGCTACAATAATAATGTTATATATTACTATAATAATTATTATATATAATACTATACAAATAATAATATTACAGAGTGTGGCATATAAAAAAAAAACTTTTTCCATAAATCCTTTATATAAACTTAAATAAAAAAAACAAACCTTTGCATCTTAAATAAAATTGCTCCTCTCATAATTTTACATATACTATAGAAGTTTCATAGCTTTAGTCTGAAAACTCGTAGTTTTATACTACAAAACGTCACTTGGTTTCTTTAAATTAAACTTTTGCTTATTTCTTGAAAACTGTCTTTACAACAACTCCTAGACCTTAAGAGGAAGTTGTAGAGCTCATCATTCTGGTTGAAACCAGCTCTAAATAAAGATTTTTAATCTAATATTAACCAAGTTATAACAAAAATAATATTTACTCCTTTTTAAACTTCTTGCAAAAAATTTTTTGCCTTTACCCCACTTTTTCCCTTCAATTCATTTTTTGTATAACCTCAAATTACTTCTAAAAATAGACCAAATTAAATTTATCTTATGCAAATTAATATTTCCTTAAACAGTACTATTTATTTAATATAAATCTATTGGTTTTTTAATTTAAACACAAACTTTATACTATTACACAATATTTTATACAACGTGTAACTAATTTTGTACCATATCAGCTACACCAGCCACACCAGCCACACCAGCCACATTTATGTTACTTTAGAATACCTAGGTTACACAAGGTTATACAAGCCGCAGCAGCCACAGTAATACACCTGAAAACCACAGTACCACTGTTTTTATATCTATTCAACTATTAAATCAAATAAAAGCAAATTCGCACTTTTAAGCAAATGTGAAACTAGTACTCTGTACTTCCTATATCAATACTTTATACGTCAAACAACACAATGTCTGCTCCAGTAACTCAAACTTCAGACTCTTTAGACCTTGACTACTTTTATACTAACTATACCAGATCTTTCAATATAGCAATCTATAAAGAAGAACTTGACAAAATTAATGTTATCTCTACCCAATTCTGCTCTACCAGCTGCTATACTAAAAATCTAAGAAACCACTGATCAACACACTTCTTACCTGTACCACCAACTACCCAAATAGTCACTTGTCTATGTGGTAGCTTCTATACTAACTTTGTATCAGATTTAAACAAAACATACGATATTCAAGTAACTGCTAGCCTTATAATATCTAACAAACAAGCAAAGAAACTTTCTTTAGCCTTGCAATCATCAACACAAATAGTATCAGCTTCTTCAACTTCTATCTTCAAACAGCACACATATACTAAATGCTGGGTAGTTATAAGCTGCAAAAAATTAATAATATTCATCATCTTACAAATGATGCTTTATTTCATGACAATAAGGCTTTCCATATTGACTGCCTTAAACTATTCCAAGAAGTATAGAATCAAAATACTTCATCTACCAAGACTACTAACCCTCTTAATACACTACTTCCACTTACATCAACCTCTGATAATACACAAACAATCGAGATGAAAACAGACGAACCAATTAATCCTAAATAAACAACCCAAGAATCTTCATTTTTTTCTACACAAACAACTCAAAAACTTAAGCAATCAACTTTTAATAGCCAACAAAACCAATCTAACACCAAGCCTAAATCAAATTTAGCCTTTGACTGGCTTGCAAATTACCTAATTACATATAAAATAGAACCTAATAAAAGGCTTCAAACAATACTTTCTCATTAACTACTTGCCTTTCTTAAAAAATTCTTATATAACTTCTACCCTGGCAAAGAAATTAAACCAGCAAGAGTAAATCAACAAGGCCACATAATTAGACCTGCTATGAAAGCAAACTTTCAATATCTTATTCACACAATGATAGTAGACAAACCTAAATTCCTTATAGACCTTATTTACAAAGGAAATCCCGATATAACCCCTGAAGCTCCAATTCCATTTATATTCTTAGAATTATCACTTAAAAATCTTATTCTTAAATTTACTACTATACTTTTTACCAAACTCAACTACAAAGAAATCTTTGCATCAGCTATCTCTATCCCACC